CCTCTTGTCCTGGTGGGAGAGGGCAGTGAATAGAGATTGCATAATCTGTAGATCTATTGGGGCTTTTGCAAATTCGAGTGGGTTCAGGGTGTCTGGGATGATAGTGTTGATGTGAGCAATGACCAGCCTTTCAAAGCATTTCATTGCTACAGATGTGAGTGCTATGGGGCGATAGTCATTTAGACAGTTTACCTTTGCGTTCTTGGGCACAGGGACTATGGTGGTCTGCTTGAAACATGTAGGTATTACAGACTGGGTCAGGGAGAGGTTAAACATGTCAGTGAAGACACTTGCCAGCTGGTTAGCGCATGCTCTGAGTACACGTCCTGGTAATACGTCTGGCCCTGCGAATGTTTACCTGTTTCAAGGTCTTACCCACATCGGCTACAGCTGGTGCTCTCATGCATGGTTCAGTGTTGCTTGCCTCGAAGCGAGAGTAGAAGGTATTTAGCGCATCTGGTAGGCTCACGTCATTTACATTTACATCATTTAGCAGACACTCTTATCCTGAGCGACTTGCAGTAGTGAGTGCATTCATGTTTCGTACTGGGCCCCGGTGGGAATTGAACCCACAACCCTGGCATTGCAAGCGCCATGCTCTACCAACTGAGCCACATGGGACAACGTCACTGGGCAGCTTGCGGGTGGGTTTCCCTTTGTAATCCGTGATAGTTTGCAAGCATTGCCACATCCGACCAGCTGGCAAACGCGTTGGCTGTTTGATGGCTCGTCGGAGGTCGTAGCGGGATTTCTTAGTGTCCCGCTACTTGAAAGCGTCAGCTCTAGCCATTAGCTCAGTGCGGATGTTGCCAGTAATCCATGGCTTCTGGTTGGGATTTGTACGTACGGTCACTGTGGGAACGACGTCGTCGATGCACTTATTAATAAAGCCGGTGACTGATGTGGTAAACTCTTCAATGGCATCGGATGAATCCCGGAACATATTCCAGTCTGTGCTAGCGAAACAGTCCTGTAGCTTAGCATCCGCTTCATCGGACCACTTCTATATTGGGCACGTCACTGGTACTTCCTGTTTGAGTTTTTGCTCGTAAGCAGGAATCAAGAGGATAGAGTTATGGTCAGATTTGCAAAATGGAGGGTGATGGAGAGCTTTGTATGCATTTCTGTGTGTGGAGGTGATCTAGAGTTTTTTAGCCTCTAGTTACACAGGTGACATGCTGGTAGAAATGAGATAAGATGGATTTAAGTTTCCCTGCATTAAAATCACTGGCCACTAGGTGTGCCGCCTCTGGATGAGCATTTTGTTGTTTGCTTATGGCCCTATACAGCTGGTTGAGTGCGGTCTTAGTGCCAGCATCGGTTTGTGGGGATAAATAGACAGTTATGGAAAATCTAGATGAAAACTATCTTGGTAAATAGTATGGTCTACAGCTTATCATGAGGTATTCTAACTCAGGCGAGCAGAACCTCGAGACTTCCTTAATATTAGGAGATCACGCACCAGCTATTGTTAACAAAGCTTACCCGAAGCTGCCGTTCTGTCCTGCCGATGTATAGAAAAACCAGTTAGATGTACTGTATATTATCCATGTCCTTGTTCAACCACGACTCAGAGGAACATAAGCTATTACAGTTCTTCAGGTACATAAGATATTACTGTTCTTCAGTCTCGAATGGAGCTCATCCAGTTTTTTCTCCAGTGATTGAATGTTCGCCAATAGAACGGAGGGTAGGGGCGGTTAATTTATTCGCCAACGTAGTTTCGTCAGGATGCCCACACGTCGGCCTCTCTTGCTCCAGTGTCAGGGATTAGGGCCTGGTCCAAGGTGAGCAGTATGTCCTGCGCCGCTGACTCATTGAAGTAGAAATCTTCATCCAAATCGAGGTTAGTGATCGCTGTTCTGATGTTCAGAAGCTCTTTTCGGTCATAGGAAACGATGGTGGAAATATTATGTTCAAAGAAAGTTCAGATCAGCACTAAAAAACACAAAATAGCAGAATTGGTCAGGAGCCCGTAAAACGGCAGCTACCCATCCTAGCGCCATTCTGCCTAACATCAGATGACTTTTATGATCCACAAGAGGAAATTGGATAGTGGCAGATCCCATCATAATTAAAGTTGAAGCCGTGTTTACCATTGAAGAGTGAGCACTTTATTTCTGTGTTATATTGGTAGTGCTCAAATATATTTGAATAGATACTTCTTTTGGGAGTTTTGGTAAGGTAACACAATTGTACTGATTGATATCAAGTCATATTTTCCAAAATCGTGTTGATTGTCCCATTAAAGCAAGAGAGAACGAGACACCATTTTCCACCACCATGCTAGAGTTGCTAATGCTACTTCCTGATGTTGCGCCCGGCGTTCAGCCAGGGGTAAACAGACTGCTGCAACCTGATTGGCTGAACGCGATACGCAACATCCGGGACTAGCATTCCTAGGTATTAGCCACTCTATCATAGTGGTGGAAAATTCTGTTTCATAAAGAAAGTACACATATTTCCCCCGTTTTTTTTTGCCTTCTCGCTATTAAATTGAGTTAAGGAGGAAATCGACGCCTTTGCAGCCTGAATGGAGAATGTTTTATGTATGAACCGGTCCACGGGGGATACCTCGTGAATGTGACAAACTGACACGTTTTCATTTTCGTCTAAAACAACTTTATATCGAAAGAGTGTCTTTGATTTGACACCTGCACATGCACTGTTCAGCACGAGACAACCGTTAGAGCCGATGACGTGTTTCTGCACATGAGGTTAGCTAGCCAATGACGCCATGACATCGCCTACAAGTGTGATAGGTGATTTCTATTGGAGAAGTAGTTTCTACAGATCTTCATACTAAACCATCTTTGTCATATGTATGGAAATGTTACGCAATGACTGTGTTTATAAGAACACTTATTTAATTCCACGCATCAACCAGCTGTTTGAGGAACTGGCTCTTGCTGCGCGACAGGTGATACCCGGTTCCTAGAGAGCTACCCTCCTGAATGTTTTTGCTCCAACCTCAGATGTTACTAACATGATTCAGCTTATCAACCAGCTCATTTTTAGCCTCACATCAAATATGCGTCTCAGATAGCTGCCGTTGTGTTTGACTTTGAGTTTGAAACAAGATCCACGGAGACCATGGAATGTTTTTAAAATGTATTTATGCATATCGGGTCCGGGTGGGAAAGCCCCGGTCCATTTCGGAACAGGACCTCTAACTTCCATCATCAATAATTTATTATCATTGTTCAGATTATTCCAATTCAATCAAAAAGTGTTTGATTTAAAATACATTTGATTGATTGAGTACCGCGCCATTTGTGACTTGAGGGCTGTTAGCAAGTTTGGCTATTAACGCTTATCAGCGCTATTAATTTACAGAGCGCAGTTTTGTAGTGGTTACTGTGACTCAACAGTCACGTGGAATTTGACCCATGACCGTTGGTGTGGCGTTAATAGGGTCACCATTACATCCCTACACACACAGACACACACGCTCACAAACACAAAATAAATGCATACGTATTATGTTTTATTACAATAAGACATTCACATTTCTGCAAAGATACACTTATATTGATATTTTTGTCATTTAGCAGACTCTCTTATCCAGATAGCTAGGTGAGACAACCACATCTCAGTTAAATCTTATACTCACTTCGAAACCCACCAATGACCTTAGTTTTTCACTGAAAACAGCAGCACCCCAGCATCCCTAGTCCCCCCCCCCCCCCCTCTGCTCTCCATTCTCCCTCTTTGCATTCCTCAGCCTCTCTGACTTTGTTTTCAGCCTGCGTTTACTGGCAGCTCAGCCCACACATAACGCAAAACAGATGTAGAAAGTGGAGCAACAAAAACGTTGCTGAGGATATGTGTGGGGGCAGCTCAGACTGCCCTGTTCTGTACTCAACAAAACAAATGAGTTAGTTTCTGTCTCCGGCAAGTATTTCACTTTCACAGCGTAATCTTTCAACTGTGAAAGACATATGGTTTTTCAAACATTGCCTTTAATAATAATAACAATAACTTTATTTGAATAGAGCTTTCCAATACAGGTAACAACGTGCTTATCATAATAAAATAATAAAATACAAGTACTAACAAAGAAACAAAGACAGGAGGAAGGAGAATGAAAAAAGATAGCTAAATATGCATCAATGCTTTAATGTAATAGAATATATGTCAGTTTTTCTATCACGGAAGACAGTAGGTTATAATGTAGGTAGGCTTAATGGATTTATTAGAAATGATCATGAACAGAAGGTTAGGGAACACAGCCACCCGTACAAATCCAATTTATGCTCTGGCATGCATACAGGATAGCTATAGCTAGGCCTATATTAAAAATAAAAAAGGGGTAAAACAGCTCTCATGGTATGGATACAGATCATAGAATTCTAGTGCTATTTGCGAGTTAAAATGTCATGAGACATTTTGCACCGTTTACATTTGTTTTGGTGGCCCTCTCAAGCCTATATTTTTGAAGTGCAAGAATACAGCATAGGATAGATAACATAAGGGTGTGAATCGTTTTAAGAGCTGTACAGTTTACGACCAATGTCCAACAGAACGACTTTCTGTCCTCATCACGTTGCTGCGAAAATGACATCACCTTCTCGAGAGGGGGCAGGCGTTCCTGCGTCGGGGGAGGAGCTATGGAACCGGCTGAATGGGGTTGTTCGTTTTGCATGGCCCGGTGACCCGTGAGCGGAGTTTGTATATTTTAGATCATTCCATTGGTACTTAAGTGAAATCTCCACTTACCCCGGGCACCGGGCCATGCAAAACGAACTGGCCTATTCTTTCCAAGCCAACCCAGCCAACCTCGGTCCAGGCTTCCCGGAGCAGAGCAGACATATATACATACAAACACAGAGAGCAGTCAATAGCAGCCTACATACTCCTGGGTGTTCGGTTTGTCAAGGGCTTTTGTGAGAGAAAGAATAGTGTTGCCGTTTTTACCCGTAAGACATGGGGGAAGACTACCACGGTGTCGGTTTCATATGACATTGTTGCTGTTGTAGCGATACGGACGGACGACACCAATGGTTTATCTAACTGGATCTCAGTGCGACGGGCGCAGTATCAAGCTGGGTTCCCCTGATGTGATGTTCGATGCCAGCACTTGGAGGATACGCAACATCTGGGACGGGGTGAAACTAGAGGTCGCCGGGGATGCGAGCCCCGTTGTCCTGCATAGCTTCACCCAACTGGACCCTGACCTTCCGCAGTTGGAGGTAACGAAATAACTTGTTTACTGCGCACTGGGGCGCACTGTAGCCTTGTGTGCAGTTTTCAATGCGTTTGTTGACTGGTCTGTTATCCAAGCTGCCACACATGATTGATAAACGAGAATAGCCTAGTGGTTTGAGAGGATAAGATCTGTGTTCTACTGTGTTTTGTTGTTTACTTCTGCCTTAGTGTCAATGACACAGTTATTGAATTCCAATACATTTAAGTGCGCATGTACATTAGTAGGCTATAGTTGTAATCGACATCCTTTTGAAATGCATCTACATAGTTTGAGTAGCCCGTTTATTTCCAAAAAGGTTAAACAAACGTTGTGAAATCTATATGTTTTATTGATGAAGAAACAAACAAACTGTTTATTATTTCATAATATAGGCCGTTTTTATTTTATTTTGTATTTATATTTATACAGGGAGTCAACATTGAGACTCCTCTGTTTTGCAAGTGAGCCCTTCAAACAACATAAATACCCTAATTAGTTTTTAGTACAAGTAATTTGTTAAAACTATATGATGGTCCACAATGCATAGACACTGAACAAGAAAACCGTTATAATCACTGTTATATATATATTTTTTAAGCTCAACAAGTCTATGCTATGCTTATTAAATGAAATGAATAACAGTCATAAATAATCATCCATGAAACCCCTTTAGAGGACATGGTGAGATTAGTTTATCATCAATTTGTTTTGAATAATGTTTTAAAAACACTATTGTTGTATGGAAACAGACACAACACCAGTCACTAGTTGTTTTCCCCCCAAATGGTACGAGACAGCTTTTAAAACGGAGCCAGTGAACCAGCCACAGTAATCGATTCAATTGGATTTCAATGGGTCACAGTGTTGACTGCTGTCCAAGCAGTGTGGTTCTACTTTCCAAATAACACACTGGCTCACTGGCGATGTCATAGGTCATAAGCTATGTCCCTCAAACTCAACTCTGGGCCTCAAAGCCAGTTCCACTGCATTTTTTAATTATTCCCCTCCAATCAGGGACTGATTTAAATCTGGGACACAAGGTGAGTGCAATTAATTATCAGGTAGAACAGAAAACCAACAGGCTTCGGACCTCGTAGGGGAAGAGTTGTGGGTGTGAATGCACTCTGCCGACAGCTGTGTGTGTGAGTCATTACAGCTTTCTAATTCTCTCTTCTGGCTCCAAGGCGGCAATACGATCAGGGGTTTTCTAAAGCTCAGACACGTCAGACTGCCTCCAACCCACAGCCTCTCTGGTGTCCAACCCCACGTCAGACTGCCTCCAACCCACAGCCTCTCTGGTGTCCAACCCCACGTCAGACTGCCTCCAACCCACAGCCTCTCTGGTGTCCAACCCCACGTCAGACTGCCTCCAACCCACAGCCTCTCTGGTGTCCAACCCCACGTCAGACTGCCTCCAACCCACAGCCTCTCTGGTGTCCAACCCCACGTCAGACTGCCTCCAACCCACAGCCTCTCTGGTGTCCAACCCCACGTCAGACTGCCTCCAACCCACAGCCTCTCTGGTGTCCAACCCCACGTCAGACTGCCTCCAACCCACAGCCTCTCTGGTGTCCAACCCCACGTCAGACTGCCTCCAACCCACAGCCTCTCTGGTGTCCAACCCCACGTCAGACTGCCTCCAACCCACAGCCTCTCTGGTGTCCAACCCCACGTCAGACTGCCTCCAACCCACAGCCCTCTCTGGTGTCCAACCCCACGTCAGACTGCCTCCAACCCACAGCCTCTCTGGTGTCCAACCCCACGTCAGACTGCCTCCAACCTACAGCCTCTCTGGTGTCCAACCCCACGTCAGACTGCCTCCAACCCACAGCCTCTCTGGTGTCCAACCCCACGTCAGACTGCCTCCAACCCTACAGCCTCTCTGGTGTCCAACCCCCACGTCAGACTGCCTCCAACCCACAGCCTCTCTGGTGTCCAACCCCACGTCAGACTGCGTCCAACCCACAGCCTCTCTGGTGTCCAACCCCACGTCAGACTGCCTCCAACCTACAGCCTCTCTGGTGTCCAACCCCACGTCAGACTGCCTCCAACCCACAGCCTCTCTGGTGTCCAACCCCACGTCAGACTGCGTCCAACCCACAGCCTCTCTGGTGTCCAACCCCACGTCAGACTGCCTCCAACCCACAGCCTCTCTGGTGTCCAACCCCACGTCAGACTGCGTCCAACCCACAGCCTCTCTGGTGTCCAACCCCACGTCAGACTGCGTCCAACCCACAGCCTCTCTGGTGTCCAACCCCACGTCAGACTGCCTCCAACCCACAGCCTCTCTGGTGTCCAACCCCACGTCAGACTGCCTCCAACCCACAGCCTCTCTGGTGTCCAACCCCACGTCAGACTGCCTCCAACCTACAGCCTCTCTGGTGTCCAACCCCACGTCAGACTGCCTCCAACCCACAGCCTCTCTGGTGTCCAACCCCACGTCAGACTGCCTCCAACCCACAGCCTCTCTGGTGTCCAACCCCAGTACAGGAGAGTGACCAAGAGGAGGTTGAGTCACTGGAGACATCTGACCCTTTCTACTCTGAGCAGCTGACCATAGACTCTGTTAAGTGTGGTGTCCAACCCCACACTCTTCCCCTATTATAACCAATTAAGTAAAATAACCAGAGAAAAAACTGGATGGGTTGGGGAGAAGCTAATTTAATTGATGTAGTCTCATACTGCAAAATGTTTTAACTGTAAGCGTCTGTGGGGGAAATAATGCCTGTTAAATGACTGAAATGTTGGGGGGGGGGGGGGTTGGCTAACTGGCAAACTCAACACTGCTGCTTGTCCTTTGGGAAAAGAATGGCCTCAGCTGAATTTCACATCTGCTGTTTCATTGAGCAACAACTCTGCTTCCTCCACCAACACTGTACTGTACAAAATCAGAGGAAGCTTGAGTCAGAGCAACTGGTGTCCATTTCGTGCCAGACACATACAGTGAGGGAAAAAAGTATTTGATCCCCTGCTGATTTTGTACGTTTGCCCACTGACATGACTTAGTACTTGGTGGCAAAACCCTTGTTGGCAATCACAGAGCTCAGACGTTTCTTGTAGTTGGCCACCAGGTTTGCACACATCTCAGGAGGGATTTTGTTCCACTCCTCTTTGCAGATCTTCTCCAAGTCATTAAGGTTTCGAGGCCGACGTTTGGCAACTCAAACCTTCAGCTCCCTCCACAGATTTTCTATGGGATTAAGGTCTGGAGACTGGCTAGGCCACTCCAGGACCTTAATGTGCTTCTTCTTGAGCCACTCCTTTGTTGCCTTGGCTGTGTGTTTTAGGTCATTGTCATGCTGGAATACCCATCCACGACCCATTTTCAATGCCCTGGCTGAGGGAAGGAGGTTCTCACCCAAGATTTGACGGTACATGGCCCCGTCCATCGTCCCTTTGATGCGGTGAAGTTGTCCTGTCCCCTTAGCAGAAAAACACCCCCAAAGCATAATGTTTCCACCTCCATGTTTGACGGTGGGGATGGTGTTCCTGGGGTCATAGGCAGCATTCCTCCTCCTCCAAACACGGCGAGTTGAGTTGATGCCAAAGAGCTCGATTTTGGTCTCATCTGACCACAACACTTTCAGCCAGTTCTCCTCTGAATCATTCAGATGTTCATTGGTCAACTTCAGATGGCCCTGTATATGTGCTTTCTTGTCTCCTGAGTGGCGCAGTGGTCTAAGGCACTGCATCGCAGTGCTAACTGTGCCACTAGAGATCCTGGTTCGTATCCAGGCTCTGTCGCAGCCGGCCGCGACCGGGAGACTCATGGGCGGCGCACAATTGGCCCAGCGTCGTCCAGGGTAGGGGAGGGAATGGCCGGCAGGGATGTAGCTCAGTTGATAGAGCATGGCGTTTGCAACGCCAGGGTTGTGGGTTCGTTTCCCACGGGCGGCCAGTATAAAAAAATATGTATTCACTAACTGTAAGTCGCTCTGGATAAGAGCGTCTGCTAAATGACTAAAATGTAATGTAAATGTTGAGCAGGGGGACCTTGCGGGCGCTGCAGGATTTCAGTCCTTCACGGCGTAGTGTGTTACCAATTGTTTTCTTGGTGACTATGGTCCCAGCTGCCTTGAGATCATTGACAAGATCCTCCCGTGTAGTTCTGGGCTGATTCCTCACCGTTCTCATGATCATTGCAACTCCACGAGGTGAGATCTTGCATGGAGCCCCAGGCCGAGGGAGATTGACAGTTATTTTGTGTTTCTTCCATTTGCGAATAATCGCACCAACTGTTGTCACCTTCTCACCAAGCTGCTTGGCGATGGTCTTGTAGCCCATTCCAGCCTTGTGTAGGTCTACAATCTTGTCCCTGACATCCTTGGAGAGCTCTTTGGTCTTGGCCATGGTGGAGAGTTTGGAATCTGATTGATTGATTGCTTCTGTGGACAGGTGTCTTTTATACAGGTAACAAACTGAGATTAGGAGCACTCCCTTTAAGAGTGTGCTCCTCATCTCAGCTCGTTACCTGTATAAAAGACACCTGGGAGCCAGAAATCTTTCTGATTGAGAGGGGGTCAAATACTTATTTCCCTCATTAAAATGCAAATCAATTTATAATTTTTTTTACATGTGTTTTCTTGATTTTGTTGTTGTTATTCTGTCTCTTACTGTTCAAATAAACCTACCATTACATTTATAGACTGATCATTTCTTTGTCAGTGGGCAAACGTACAAAATCAGCAGGGGATCAAATACTTTTTTCCCTCACTGTAGTTATAGTGTGCTGGCAGAAGGAAATGGGGCGTATCGTGTTCACTGACACACTCTGTAGCCATATCTTATGGTCCTAAATCACCAGCAAAACTTGGTCAAAGAGGAGAATAGAAAGTGACCGCTCTGCTTGAAGTCGTCTGCGCATTAGGAAGGGAAGTGTAGTAGTTTGGACTGAATATTACCTGAATGATAGGGACAAGCTTAGTTGGGGCTGAATTCAATTGAACCTTGATTACAGTATTTAGTCAGTAGTACAGATGTAGGATCTTAACTGGACCTCTTGTTGCAGCAAAATAATCCTGCAGCAACAGGATTTGAACGTTTAGTCCATAATGTTGCTTGATCGGTGGTTAGGCTATTAGCTGGTCAAAATGAGGCTACATGAAAAGTGGAATGCATAACCGTGTGTTAGTGCAGGTTTTCAGTAAATCACAAAGCTCATCTGCATTTCCTGCGGCCCAGGAAAATTCTCAGCAACAAAAGAGTGATCAAATTAGGGTCCTACATCTGTAGATATGCAGTAGTGTGCAGTAGATATGAACATAAGGTTGTTTTCCAATAAACTCACAGAATGGTTTTGAGTAGGCTACTCTAGATTCCACATGGACTCCCTTTGCAAGCATTTCAGAACTGTTCAAGAATAAGACAGGTGTGTGTGCACTGCAGACAGTTGTAAACAAAGATACTGAATACACATTGCTTAAGCAGATTGGATTTGATTGTAGTTTCCATTATAGAATAATGATAGTATAATAATATTATTACAGACCATAGAGATCTTCACGGTAAAAATGAATTTTCCTCCAGCATTTTCCACCATGGACACAGCGGGACGTATGCCGCGGTCTCAGCCGGCTGACACATTCTTTCCACGGCCAACTTTCCCTCCAATAAACATAAATAGACCCAATCGAGAAGGAAAAAGAAGTGACCAGCCAGTCACTCTATTTGAGCAATTTATCTGTTCAACCTACTTTTCAGTACTTCTCAGTCTGCAAGAGATATAGTCCTAGACTATAGAGTGTAGAAATTGTTTGCCTTGGCCTATCAAGTACATTTTAGTAGTGCATGGAAAAGGAAGTATTAACGCGCATCCAGCGCTATACATACAACAACATCCATGTCTCTCAGGTGATTACTGTATACCATTATTTCGTAAACGGAAAAAACGTGTTAACTGTATCACACATAGCAGAGGTCTGTTAAGGCGTCCGCATGCTTCCCATCCGAAACAGTTCGGTACAGTTAATGCATATATTATGACGACATTTTGTGATGTTTTTGTTTGTTTGGGTCTTCGGCAAGGGTTTTTTCTACTGTACGTGCACACAAAAAATGTTCTCGAGGCAAGCCGAAGTTCAGAGCCGAAGTCTACGCCCCTTAATCGGTCATTGATCAACAGTAGGGTTTCTTCAATGAAATGTGTTTGTTGTCATTCAACGATAGATTACTCGTTTTCATTCACATTATTTCATTGAGAAATACTGCACCAAACATCTTAGTTAGATGTAAAATTGCGCGACTAAGATCTCCTCGGCAAAACACAAAAAATGATTGACAGATTTCTTGAGTTATCTAATTCTGACTATTTTTAGGAAGTGTCCCGTGTAGCTCAGTTGGTAGAGCATGGCGTTTTCAACGCCAGGGTTGTAGGTTCGTTTCCCACGGGGGACCAGTATGGAGAAGAAAAAAAATGTATGCACTCACTAACTGTAAGTCGCTCTGAATAGGAGCGTCTGCTAAATGACTAAAATGTAAATGTAAAAATGTATACTGGCTACAGTGTCTCAAGATGGACAAACAGCACTATCGCCACTTTTTCTTGTTTTTCAAGCGAAGGTGTTTTAAGGGAGTATGCGAGCACACTGAAGCATGCGGTAGTCTTTAGCCCTTGATGTCTCTATAACCATCAGTAGTCAATAGGCCTATGAAATGATTTTAGCCATGGCTGAGTCCCTGTTTCTGAAATACTAAACTGACAGTATATAAATCTACTGTATATCTTCCTCTAAATGCAGAGGATGACACGAGGCTATCGAACAAGCGTGCCGTTTGTCTCATGGTTCCTGTTGATCAAAGCACGGAGTGACACATTGTCAGCTTGGCATTTTGGGAATCTGCATGCGTGTATCGCCAATGCTGGTCACGAGCCTGGAGAGAGCGCTGTCTTCATCTCTCCAACTCTTAATCCTGTTAGTTGATTAAGGCTAATCGGTCTTCTCACTCCACTGCATTTCATGTTAGTATTATATTTTGTTTTCGTCTGCAAATTGACAGTGAGTTTGAGGCAAGAATTGCAGGCTGTTCATCTAATTTCTGTAAAATAGAGCAGACATTTTCAAAGAACGGTTTGTTTGACGCATGCCTGTTTTATGTTTTCTTTGGTCCTCTAAAAAGCAGAGAATGTTACATTATGGCATTTCTGTCATATTGAATGTCTCTCAACACTCACTTTATAGACCCTATTCTGCCTTTTCACTAGACATATAAATCCTCTCTGTGACCTGCATTGAAAGTGAAGGGCCTCCCTTCCTACCACAGTCCTAATACCCTCATTGTGATTAGCTAATGACTGACTTCTGTCAGGTTCCCTCTTCTCTTCCATTTTAAAAGACAGGCCTCTCATACCCAATTCGTCCTCAGTCTTACACCACTTTGTCATTGGGTTTAGCTCAAGATACATTTTAGTCATTTAGCAGATGCGACTAACGAGCAATTAAGTTAAGTGCCTTGCTCAAGGGCACATTGACAGATTTTTCACCTAGTCGGCTCGGACATT